ATTGATAATTTTGTATGGTATGTTAATTTGGTTTTATCACCTGAGTTAGCGTCTACCCTTCGTCTGAGAACTTCCAACTTCAAACCTTAAAGTGAATACTTCAAGGGACATCCAGATGTGTGTGTAAAATATTGTATTAAAAAAATTATGGCTTAGAAGTAAGAACTAGAATACAGCTTTGATTTCCTGGGAGAACAGAAATAGTTCGTGTGCTTTCGTATAAAAACGCGTTTTAAACAAAATGGCTGCGTCCTTTTTAAGCTTGTCACCTTGTTTCTTAGTTCTCTGTCCCGAACTATCCACTACACCAAGAGCGGTCCTTGCTTTTCGGCGAAGTTCACCGCACAAGTATAATAAAAAAGTAACGTGAAATTGGAGGGGTCATGTTAGCGTTCCGCGTGGTTCTAGAAATGTGCGCTAAAACAATTTTTTTCATTTCTCACTTACTTTCCTTGAATCGCACGACAGACTTCGGCGAAAAGGACGGACTGCTCTTTATGGGCGGCCGTCACCACCAAAAATACAAGGATGTCAAATAGATCAGCAAATACAAAGATGCTGTAAGAATCAGCTGCAGGATAGCATAGCTAATAAAGGAATGGCATAGCCAAATTATAGACAGTCTAGTTTTCCTTCGTGAAACAGAACACCCTAAACATGAATAGTTTAGCCAAACGAGAAACGGTCTAGTAGCCCATGTTGAGTTGGATCATGAGATTGTGAAATGGACTAGCTTAATTACGAATAGCTTAGCACTCATTTGCAATACAGTACTCAAACGGTGTAGCGTTGCGTCAAACGGCTCAGGGCAACGTCGAGTAGCACAGCGTACGCATAAACGGTGTAGCGTTGCGTCAAATGGCTCAGCGTAATTTAGAATGGTACAGCGTACACACATATGGTGTAGCGCTGCGGGAAATGGCTCAGCGTAATGTCGAATGGTACAGCGTACATAAAAATAGTGTAGCGTTGTGTGAAATGGCTCAGCGTAATGTCGAATGGTACAGCGCACATACAAACAGTATAGCGTTGCGTGAAATGGCTTAGCGTAATGTCGAATGGTACAGCGTACATACAAACAGAGTAGCGTTGCGTGAAGTGGCTTAGCATAATGTCGAATGGTACAGCGTACACACAAATGGTGTAGCGTTGCGTGAAATGGCTCAGCGTAATGTAGAATGGTACAGCGTAGACACAAATAGTGTAGCGTTAGGTCGAATAGCTTTGCAAAACATCAGACGCTCTATCTGAACATTAAATTGCTTAGTATTACTTGAAATATTTCGATGTTGTGGTGAATCGTCGTGGCGTGACGTGAAGGCCATGCCATTCCTTTATTAGCTATGCTATCCTGCAGCTGATCCTTGAGCCATCTTTGTATTTGCTGATCTATACGACATCCTTGTATTTTTGGTGGTGACGGCCGCCAAGGCATCTCGCCGAAACCACCAAAAATACAAACCGCAAATGGAACAGCGATCTGCTGGGGGCATGACGTCATCGAATGTGAAGACTGACACGAAACCATTACATGGCGTAGTATAGTCTTCACTTCGCTTTGCCGTAAAGCAGAGCCAATTCGGTAAGTTTCTCCTCTTTCTTCACTGCTGATATTGCACTTATTCGTTGTCGTTCATGAAAGCGTCGTTCATTAAAATTGCAACGAGACTGAATTCTACCACGGTTTGCCGGCCTCTTGGTTTACCACAGTTTGCACGCGTTGGTGGGCCTGAACATGTTTATAGTACTAAGTAGTGTTATGACGTGCATTAAATGTCAATTGTCGAGCTCTCTTTTCTTTCTCCGACTCACGCTTACTTTTCAATGAACGGCTCTTTGAACATTGGAGGAGTACGTGAGAAGTTGAATATTGTGCGTGCCCTGGACGCCATGGTAAGAAAACTGCTATCCTTGATCTGTGTTGACATTTTTCGATCAAAGTGATATCGGAATGCTTTAATTGGTGTGCCGGACGATAAGAGTAAGCTAAGAGAAGACATATTTATTATTTTAAAGAGGTGTACATTATATTGCTTTGTTTATTTTTTTTTCTGGGTGCAGTGATAGTAAAAGTAAGTTGCATTTTTATTTTGTCGATCAAACGTAGATTACATGTCTGGACCGGAAACAGTTAAAGGGTTTTTTTCGCGTTCCAAAATAGTTTTTGCCGGAGTAATATTTTTTCTGAGTTGGTTTTGCGCGCATACATACTTATCTTCCCTGTGCTCTTTCCCATTCCGTAGTCATCACGTATTAAGGAAGGCTAGTGCGGACACCGTAATGCAAGTAGTTGTACGTAATTGTCCAACTCTAGGTCGAGTTTTACCGTTCGATCTGTTACAGTCGCAACTTGCTGAATAAAAACTATTGCATAATTCAGACAATTGACAGGACATCTTGCTGTGTCGTAGTTTGTTTCGGTAGACGTATTTATTTATATTTTTATTTATTTTTACATTTCTGTACCTCAACTATTAATTTTTGTGATTATTATTATTATTATTTTTATTATTATTATTGCTACAGACTGAGTTCAGTACACACTAGATACATTGACTAGAGTTGCGTGACCATGGCGTCCAGGGCACACACAAAATCCAACTTCTCACGTACTCCTGCAATGTTCAAAGTCAAAGAACCGTTGAAGTTAAACTCCCTTTGAAAAGTAAGCGCGAGTCAGAAAAGAAAAGAAATGAGAGCTCGGCAATAGACATTTAATGAACATTTTAATAATAGTTGAGTTTAATAGTTAAATTACCATGGCGTCCAGGGCACGCACAATATTCAACTTCTCACGTACTCCTCCAATGTTCAAAGAGCCGTTGAAGTTGGACTCTCATTAAAAAGTAAGCGTGAGTCAGAGAAAGAAAAGAGAGCTCGACAATTGACATTTAATGCACGTCATAACACTACTTAATACTATAAACATGTTCAGGCCCACCAACGCGTGCAAACTGTGGTAAACCGGGAGGCCGGCAAACCGCGGTAGAATTCAGTCTCGTTGCAATTTTAATGAACGACGCTTTCATGAACGACAACGAATAAGTGCAATATCAGCAGTGAAGAAAGAGGAGAAACTTACCGAATTGGCTCTGCTTTACGGCAAAGCGAAGTGAAGACTATACTACGCCATGTAATGGTTTCGTGTCAGTCTTCACATTCGATGACGTCATGCCCCCAGCAGATCGCTGTTCCATTTGCGGTTTGTATTTTTGGTGGTTTCGGCGAGATGCCTTGGCGGCCGTCACCACCAAAAATACAAGGATGTCGTATAGATCAGCAAATACAAAGATGGCTCAAGGATCAGCTGCAGGATAGCATAGCTAATAAAGGAATGGCATGGCCTTCACGTCACGCCACGACGATTCGCCACAACATCGACATATTTCAAGTAATACTAAGCAATTTAATGTTCAGATAGAGCGTCTGATGTTTTGCAAAGCTATTCGACCTAACGCTACACTATTTGTGTCTACGCTGTACCATTCTACATTACGCTGAGCCATTTCACGCAACGCTACACTATTTCTGTGTACGCTGTACCATTCGACATTATGCTAAGCCACTTCACGCAACGCTACTCTGTTTGTATGTACGCTGTACCATTCGACATTATGCTAAGCCATTTCACGCAACGCTACACTGTTTGTATGTACGCTGTACCATTCGACATTACGCTGAGCCATTTCACACAACGCTACACTGCTTTAATGTACGCTGTACCATTCGACATTACGCTGAGCCATTTCCCGCAGCGCTACACCATATGTGTGTACGCTGTACCATTCTACATTAAGCTGAGCCATTTGACGCAACGCTACACCGTTTATGCGTACGCTGTGCTACTTGACGTTACCCTGAGCCGTTTAACGCAACGCTACACCGTTTGAGTACTGTATTGCAAATGAGTGCTAAGCTATTCGTAATTGAGCTAGTCCATTTCACAATCTCATGATCCAACTCAACATGGGCTACTAGACCGTTTCTCGTTTGGCTAAACTATTCATGTTTAGGGTGTTCTGTTTCACGAAGGAAAACTAGACTGTCTATAATTTGGCTATGCCATTCCTTTATTAGCTATGCTATCCTGCAGCTGATCCTTACACCATCTTTGTATTTGCTGATCTTTTTGACATCCTTGTATTTTTGGTGGTGACGGCCGCCCATAGCTCTTAGTTTAACCATACCCTTGAGTGACTGAGAGAAAAGTTTGGGCACACAATTGCAATTTGCGGGGCGCAACCATCTTCGCAGTTTGTTGCATGGCGCAACAATGATCGCAGTTTCAAGCAATTAGTTGCATGGTTATTGTCGGAATTATACTCAACAGGAAGGTTCGATTAATTAATCTGTAGTTTTCCAGACAGGAAAAATTGATTTGCTGCGATTACCGAAAAACAAACTTCAACCTTGACACTGCATATAGTGTTCAACTGACCGTTTTAGTTGAGAGTAAATTATTGGCTTCAGGTTTTCTTTTTACATTAAAATTCATTTTCTTTGTTTCTTTTTTTTGTTCTGTTTGTTTTTATTTTTTTTTCTGTTAATCGGCTTTAACAACATTTAAATTACAAATATTAGCAATCAAAATGTTGAATGTAGTTTGTTAAATCAATCTACAGATCGTTCACTTCCGACGCATGGTCAGGAGAACGTTTTTGTTTCAATTTTTGAAAAAAAAATCTGGATTGATTCAAAAAGAAAAATTATTTTACCTAAACTAGAGGTAAAGGTCATGAGGCTAGAAATGAGAATCGGTTGTTAAGACACTCAAAATCCATCTAAAGAATTTAACTTAGCAATTAATGTTCCCTTAAAAAAATTGCGTAGACTAAATCTTCAAACGTGCCGACATTGCATTAAAGTGTTAACTGATTCCCAACGGAGAAAGTACATCGATGAGCTTCGTTCGAATTTGAATGTTATCCGAAGAATGTGGTATGGTTTTCCTTATGTAAAACGATAAATTTTTTTGGTCCAAAGATGATCTGGTTACTGTGTTGATACGCGAACTGCGAGATCGAGAACGAGGCGTACACTAAAAGCGCCAAGAAATTGAAAGCCACAGGTACGATAGGTTCAAACAATACTTAAGATAAAATATATACTGCTGCGTAACTTAAGCATTTGCAGGTGTAAAAATAGTGTTGCTTTAAGTCTGGAATTAGACCTGCATCGTGAGAAGGTTTACGAAATACTCAGCTTGGTGAAGAAAAATGTCTTTTTCTCTCAAATGAATTCCAAAAAAAGCTCTTGCTGGCCGCTCTTTCCTTCTAAGAGTACGAACTACGGATCTGGAGCAAGTTCAGAATGTAACAGAATATTATATTCTTCAAATGCAGTGATAAACTATAAGCCTTTAATCGAAACCTTCAGCACCATCGCACAAAACTAGAGATCGATTCGTATTCGAAGATGCTCTTGGATTTAAGTTTACACAGCGTGCAAGGTACATAAATAATAACTGGCTTCTGTTCTCAATTTCACTTCCATTTACCAGCTAGCCATTTGTTTGTTTCGTTTTCTCAAATATTGGCTGGAAGGTGAAATTAAGACCGTAAATTGAGGCGGCTACGTTCGGAAATATTTGGGCAGCTGTTTTAAGAGTTCTATTCATTGTCCCAGCTCCTTCCGCAGCGAAAATATATTTTATTGGTGCCTTGAATATCTTGGCTGAGGTACATGGAAATCATATCCAAGGCTACATTACATTTAATTTTTAACAACGCTCAAGACCATAATATGATATCGTCTGCTTTGAATATAAAGGATTGTCCACTAAACCCAACTCAGTAGACTATTATACCTGTGGCGGTTTGAGGAGGGGGGGAGGGGGAGGGAGGTTGTTTATCACAAATAGCTAACTTAAGATATTTTCAATATATTTATCAGAGGATTTGTTTTCTTGGCGAAGTAATTATTGCTATTTAGTTTACTAGTTTGTTCTTCAAGGCTTTCTTAACGATCTAGAGCAGTTTTAAGTTGTGCGCGTCTCCAGATGGGATGTAGGTGTGGCAGGATAAAGAGAAGACATACAACAATATTTCGGTGATACTCCGAAACAAAGTACTCCTTCCAGTAACACGGCACTGGAACGTCGGGCTTTAAAACTCTTTACGGTGGCCATTTTACGTTATCAACTCAGTTGATAATTCTTAATTGCCTTGTTACACTCTCTTAGCGACGCAGCACCACAGTCTCTTTTGAAATTTACCCCTTTATTCATTAATCAATTTTTGCCGGTCCCGCACCAATTTCCTGCACACAGTTTGAGCGGAAAATATAAGAAACAGCCGCTGTCAAGTAAAATATGAATAGAAAATCAAAACGTTTTTATAAATCTTTAAAGGGAAGCAAAAGTAGAGGAGAAACAGAGACTGTTCGATCACAATGAATATTTAATTTAGGGTTTACAGCTGACTTTTACGCAACTGCAGATTATAATCGATTGCTTTTGCGTTATTGTTTCGATTTTTGTTTGTTAAACGCATTTCAAATACCACGACTTGTTGACTTTTGTGGGATTTCTTTTAACTCTTCTGAGGCAATTTGCTTATGACAACCTGAAAGCGCGCCACTTGGCTATTACAACGTTCGCACATGCGCAGACATTGGACCGCTGGAGACTGGAACTTTACTGTTTGAAGATATTGAACGCGCTGTTTGGATAGTGGTTAATCAAAAACTTTAAGGAAAACGAATGGTTGCTCAGTGAAGAGATAAAATATTTACTAAAAATAGAATTTCATGATATTAAAGAACAACAACTGATTCAATGTTTTTGTTTGACTTTGACAGATTAGATTAAATTTACCAAATTTAAATTAATTCCTTGTTTGCGCCTTTGTTTGAATTAATATCCCCTTAATTGCTTTTCTTTACACATCGTTATATAGCATGCATTCATTATTAGCACCGTTGAATGAATTCTGAGGTGATATTCTCTGAGTAAGGTGAAAGAACTAAAGGCCACGTATTTGAATTCAGGTATAGTTTTCCAAGACTTTTTTAACTATAATTCGTTCGAATCATCTATGCATTTTTATCACAAGGTATACCTGGTTGCCACAAATTTGCCAGTTAATTTCCCCGGATAAGTATCATTTTGAGGAGCCCAAACCTGATGATTTCTCATTTTGAATTCAGCAGGGCTTCATCATATCATAGTCTTTATTTTGAAATATCTTAGATTCAAGTCAATTGCGAGATTTAAACACCAAATTGGGTTCTAGTCTGCAAAATCAGTTTAAAAAGAATGAGATCTCTAATGTTTTTAAGTTTGGTGATATTATCAAAAAAAATGGTATACTTGAGAAGGACGTGAAGGAAGAAAAACACTGACAAAGGTAGCTTTCGACCCTCATGATTGTGATTCAATACTTCAAATGTGGATAAAGTCAGTGGGGCTATAGGAAATCTTAAACTTTTGTTTGCCCGACATATACGATAGAGAAATCGCAAAACGGTAAAGGATGTGTTTATTATCCTTGTTATGATTATAAATCAAGGATAAATGAAGTTAAATCCTTTGTTTCATGATTTAGAATCCCAATCAATTGCTCGGAGCCGAGCTATCTATACAAAGATCGCGACATTCACATGCTATACAGAATACAGTTTACATTAGGCGTTGAATTTGAATGATTCAGCGGCATCGTGATGTTTACAAGCTGGTAATCGGACAAACTACACAAATATCAAATCTGAGTGTGAAACCAAAAAAATAGAGCAAACACGCTTTAACCGTTTCTATAATCAGTTAATCAAAGTGATAATCAAATTAAAATCGCAACACAATCTTCAGTTGTGCACAAGCTGGTTTTTAACCAGAATGTTTCACTTTTTCTCTTTCAGTAAGATGGGGCTCGCAAGTGAAGCTACCCTAGTAGAAACAGTTGTTGAAGTGACCCTTCTGTTGTTTTCCTGTTGTGGGACTGTCCTGGCAAACATCATGGTACTTATTGTTGTGGCTACAAAAGAGAAACTTCAGGCTCCAACATACTTCTACTATTTGAGTCTGGCTGTCTCCGATTTTATTTTGGGTAAGGAAGTACAGTATTGGGTTTTACTTTTGAGTTTCTTTTGTTTTCTTGTTTTTCATTTTTCGTTTTTTCTTTGTTGTGGCCTTTGTTTTATGGTGCACAATATAAGCGTCTGGATCTACCTGTAATTTGGCCAGCCAATGAATTTTATTTATGGATTTGTCTGTTTTTCATTCATTATGTCGAGTCTTTTTTGTGTTTTTCATTAAGTTATTCAGTTAAGAAGGTTGTGTAACTTGTCTATTTTTTTTAAAATAAACAAGCTATAGTGAGGTGAAACCGACAACACTCAACTGACAGCTTTGTTATGAAAACCCACTGATGACGTTTACAAATGTACTGATTCTGCGACCATGCAGACTTAGCATAAGGTGTAGAGTGAAAACAGCACACGGTCAACACATAATAGAAAATTTAACATCCAGAACATTGCCAAATGTTCCAATAATTTTTCTTTTTTTCCTTAAGGTGTGTTTTGCATACCGCTAGTAATAGCGGCATTCGTTTTGCACCGTTGGCCAATTGGAGACATCTTGTGTCAGTTATACGCTGTTCTCATCAGCGTGTCTGTGAACTGTTCCGTTGTGACGCTGGCCATAATCAGTGTGGACCGTTATTTCGCCCTCTCAAAACCAGTGGAGAGCAGAGCCCATCTGACCTTCACCAAACGACGCTACAAACTGATCATTATCGCCAGCTGGCTGCACTCGGTGTTCTGGGCCAGCGGTCCGTTATTCAAATGGGGAAGCACAAAGTTGGACGAGTTTACACACACTTGCAAACCCGACTGGGGAGGGGAAGGGCTGGCTAATAAAACCTACGCATTGTGTTTGGCGTTTTTCGCCTTCGCAGTGCCAGTCGGCGCAATGATATACGCCTATTACAAGATCTATTGCATAGCAAGGGCTTCGAAGAGAGCCGCAGCTCGTTATGATCCCCAAAAGGAAGAGTCACCGCAAGGTGAGCGCGTTCCACTGAAAGAAAGCACTGCTACAAAACACACACATGCTGCTGCAACTGCTGACGACAACAAAGCCCTGAAAACGGTCTTGTTGCTGATTGGTTCATTCGCTGCCTGCTGGTCGATCTACACCCTAGCAACCGTCTGGAGGATATTGGCGTCAAATTCCGTTCCCCCGTGGATTGTTCGCGTTGGACTGGTACTTACTCTCTGTAACTGCTGCATCGACCCGTTCATATATTCAATCCGAGATGAGAAGATGAAACGAGAAATCAAGGAAATGATCTGCAAGATTCTGTGCAGAAACACATGAAATCATTATCCTAAACACTACTTACCAAAGGATATTGCACTATTTGAAGACTGTGGTCTACAGGCATTAGAGATTTGCCTGCATCTAAAGCCAAATCTATTGAGAAATTACAGAGTTGATCATGTCAAAATTGTTCGCGCTCCTTTTGATTTTCCTTTCTCCAGCTATAATCCCTAAGAACCTGCCAGTCGAATTTTAAAAATAGTGATAACTGTTTAGTCTTGTACCCATACCTTCCATGGCCAAGCGGTTGTAAGTTCCCTAGATTTACAATTACACGGTAGGACCTGGGTACGAGGTTAGTAAATAGAGTAAGGATGATGGTCTTTTTTTGAGTTGTTTTCTTAAATTTTTTATGTTCTAAAATGCACCTGGCCCAAAAGAACTAAGCTTTAGGGAAGATTGTTAAACTAAACTGAATATAACCATGCATGCACTCTTTTAAGACATCTTTAGAGCAGAGAGTATAAAGAAGGCAAGGCAAGGCAAAAAAGCATCTTTTGAGCTCTTCATGTATCTCAACACGTGAATCTTCATGCATTCACTGGTTTGAATCAGAAATGAGTGTTGTTCTTGGAGACTGGTTAAATATTCCTTTTGCCACTGTACCCTGAAATTTTTCATCATCTTTTGATGGTATTTCGCTCGTCTTGATAAATCATGGGCTGTTGCTTGTCATGTACTCTGAATCATCTGAATCATTGGCCATATCTGGCAAAGTTAGTTGATGATGCATGTCTGCCTATACTTGAAAGGTGTGTGAGAAGCACTTCAAGGGCATGTTAAAGTTATAACATTCTTTTCAGCTAGCCTTGAGTCTTACATAAGTTGCTTTTAGACCTCAACCATGGCTTGTAGGTGAACAGAAACATACCCAAATTTTGAATTTGGGCCTGTAAGGGGCCTCTGGTTAAATATTGCACAAACTTGAGAAGCAGGCCTTTTCTAATTCCGTTTCAACTGGGAAATATGTTAATTGCATAGGGGCATGGGACTCTTTGTTAGCTCGCCTTCACCCCATACACTCATGCAGCTTATGCTTCTCCTACTTGGATGATGAAAAACTAGGCAGGCTATTACTGGATAGGAGTTTGCAGTTATCTCTTAAAACAAGGCATTATGCTTCAAACTGGGGTTGATTATCCCCATTTACATGATCCCTAAATAGTGATAATAACAGAACATCCGTCATGAGAGAGAAAAAATGCTTTAGAATTACAAAAATGGTGATACAAAAATAATTATTTTATTTCTTAATTCTAACTTAGAGTTGCATTCTTAAATGAATATCAGTATAATATATTTGTGCTAAACACCATCCACCACAACTTTGACTGCCTTCACTATTTCAGTGAATTCACTCTCAAATCCCAGAAGAAGACCTGTAAGAAGAATTCTTATGTTAGCTTTGTTTCCCAAAGTTCATTATAGAGCCTCTCATAATCCTAACTTTACCCCCAAAGTTACCATTCAGTTAGTTACAAATTCAGGCAATTCATGCTAGCTTTTAGACAACCCATACCTGGAATTTTTCCCGGAATTATGGGCTCCCAGATTACTTACCTGTGTTTGCCTGATTTGTTGCAATGATGCTGACAACCAAAGGAAGAAAACTAAAATGAACCACCTGGAAAATATATTGATACATACATAACTAAATAAATAGATATTTACTTTGTGCTCACTTAAAAGTTCAGTTATTGAAGATTTAAGGTGAAACCTTTGTTCTGTTTTAATTTTAGAAGATAACTTATGCCCCATTCACATCAAAACTGAAACAGGCTTTAAAGCTATTTTGTTAACTCTTTAACTCCCATAAGTGACCAAGAATGAATTTCCCCTTACAATATCAATACAATATCAACCAGATAAGTGATGAGAATAAAGAACAATATCAATTTGGGGATAATTAGTTGATCCAATACTAAATTCTCTCAGTTAACATTATAAGAATTGTATGGTTGACAGTGAAGAGAATAACAAATTGGGGAGTTAAAGGGTTAAAAAGTTTAAAACCATTGTCTTCAACAAAGTGGCTGAAACTGATCTTTGGCAACCTCAAATTAAGTATTATGAAAATACAAGTTAATGAATACTTGAACTCCACATAAAGTTCAGTACTTTTTAGGAAAAAGATTTTATGATTTTGGTCAAATTGTGCTAAGTTTGCCATTAAAAACTGCCTCCACAATTTGTTTCCCCTATTTATTAATACACTGAATGAGGAAAAATACACTGAATAAACTATTTTTTTAATTGTTATCATTTCAAAGGGCATTTTCTGACCTGATAGGAAGCAAAAAAACAAACGATGCTCTTGTTTTTTGATAATCCAAGCTTACTTGCCTGCAAATGAACACAGCAATATGAAGATGGAAAAAAGACTCAATAATTAATGTCTTATCATAAATATTTCACTGAGTACCTCTCTCAAAAGGCAACCCTCTCTTGTCTTCTCAACAAGTTGAAAGCAAAAATTGTAACATTTGATTTACACATTTCAAAACAAGCTCTTTCATACCAGGAGGTAAAATAGGTATGATTAACAACTGTCTCACGACCAAATTATTAGAATCAGCCTAAATTTACAGTTGTTTGCAGAATGGCTGTCAGGAAAAAAAACAAAGTGCACAAACAATCTCAAAAGGTAACATTGGTATCTGGTGATCAATGAATTTTAGTAAGTGAAACAAATAATTATGGACCAAAGGACTACTGAACAGAGGGATAAATACCAACATGCATTTAAATGCAAGAGGAACAAAACAAGAGAATGATGCATTGAGGATAGTTGTAAGGTCATTTCAAATTCCCTTTTGTTCAGTTTACATTGTTTCTGTCGTCAGTTAGGGTCAGGTTATTATTTTTCTTTTTTTAATCAAGTTTAGAACTAAAATTCAGTTTTGCAAACAAATTTATTTCAGGAAACCCACTGTGCATCTTCCTTACAGTGATATTTCCTTAGATTTCCCTGCAATCCTGAGGTCAAGGAACAATGACCTGAAACTATCCACTTTTACTTGCCTTTCAGGGTTGTTGCATGTACTTATACGCTTTTTTCCAACAACCTTTCTGCAAAGAGGTGGATGTGTCTGATTTCCCACAGATGCTATGTTTGGAAAAACAATCGTATCTACGACAATTTGGAAAAGATTAAATATGCCCGTCTCACTTACTTGTTCAGCTGTTGTGGAGAATGTGGAGAGAAAACTTGCTCTTAGAGCATTTTGTGGAGTTTTAGGATCGTAAACTGCAAAGTTCAAATGAAAAAAGTGGTAAGCTTCTCATTATTTTTACTTTGAAGGGCATCATGGTCGATTTCGTGGGCTAAAATGGAGATTTGGAGGGCTGAAATATCTTCTGCCTGCCTAGTGTCATTGTTCAGACTGTTTTGTCTTCACTTTTTTCAGTTCTTATTATCTCTATGCCCTTCAAAGTGATAACAATAGTAATATAGTCTGTGATTGTAGACATAAATATGTTTTGAGCCCCTCTCAGAGCTCATTATAACCCTTGCCTAATGGTTCAGGCTAGAATGACTCTGAGTTAGACCTAGAACATATTTCTGTTCCTGAATATAAACTCTACTGTTTTATTCAAACTCTCAGGCACCACATAGAGGTGTAACAAGTACTAATATTTGTTCGTGAGTGCTCACAACTTCTCTTACTCTATCCCTCTCTCTTCTCTCCTGGTGTAGGACTTTTATCACAGTTCTAACAACAAAGATATGTTTCCCTTTTAACATGTTCAGTTATATTAAACTACCATTTTATATTATAATGGGTTCTTTTTAGACAGAAAGGCAAATATTGAATGCTCAACGAGAATTATTCACGGACAATTTTGAAATCGGTAAGCTGAAACCTCAAAGGAAATAGGGAAAACACTCAGTCAGTTGCTGTACGATTAGTTCGAAATCGAAAAAGATATTTATTAGAATAAGTATTCGCATCTTTCACCTTTAATGAGCGGAACTCCATCTCTATCGGTAACCAAAATGGCAAGAATTCCTTCGTGTCTAAAAAGAAGGTGGATATTAAAACGAGATTGAGGAGAAAAAGTCACGAGACACTGGGTTAAGGACTAAATATTCAACTCACAGAAAATCAACGTTTTGGTATTTTAACAGCACTTACTTTGCTAAAAGGTCCTGAAAATAATTATGGACTCCCTAATGGCGGAAAAATCACAGAATAAGCTTTGAATGAAAAAGAATTAGCTTACAAAATTGAAAAATTGTTACGAAGATCGAGGCAGACCTCTGCCATCTCCAGTTCTTTGCCTTGTAGTGAATTGTCACCGAGGGGAGGGTAGTAATAACTTTTCTAACCTCCTACCCCTCCCTCAATCACCTCATTATTCGTCTTATATTTGCAATTATATATTTTTCTTTTTTCATTAAATAAGAAAGGTTAATTCAAATTCTTTAAATAGCATTGTTGCTTATCATTCTAGAAAAAGATCTTGCACATCGTCATCATCAAGGCAGCGATGTCGGCAGCGATTGTTCGAAGAATCATCTGAATATGTCGTGTAAGGAAACATGATGTATATACATGTTTGTCAATGAGCCCAACACGTGTTGAGTACAGGGAGCGCGGGAAGGTGTGAATTTGACGCACCGCGCTGCTCGCTGCGTCTGTAGTGAATTGAAACTTTCCTTTTTTACCCGTAATTCTGAAATTTGAAGACAACTCAAGTTTATGAGTTGAAATTTAAGGAATCAAAGAAGATCTTCTGGTTAGTGTTATTTTCTCAAAGGCGATGGATGTGGAGCAGAAGTCAGGAACGATGTCACTGAAGTTGCGTCCTTTCGGAAGGAGTGAGGTGAGATACAGATCTAGCAAATTCCAGTCCGTCCACGTGTAAAGACGAGTCCTTCTCAGTCAGCGCGCATGCATCTTTCTTTAAAGATGGAAATTATAGATTTTCGCTGGATTAGTCATCTGTAATTGTAGAGAGGTCAGGTAATTGACCGATTCGGAGTAATTTTCCGAGCTGTCAAAGTTTGACAGCCGCTGAGGGTAACAACTTACATCTCGTAATGAAGCACTAGGTAGAAGGCACAATACAAACATATCAGTATATTTTAACCATGACATTTTTGGATAGAAAGTTTTAGTTCTTGAATTGATCGCGGATTATTTTAAAATACCTTAAACGTTAGCTTTTACGACTTTTCGTGTCGCAATTGACAAATCTCAAATCGTGCGAGAGTCCGTTCGTTTTATAAGGTAAATTTCCTAAATATTTCCTATGGTTAATTTGTAATATTTTTATGAAGTAGGTGTTTTACACCGGGTTAATCAGAGGGGGGATGCTTATTGAATAGAGGCCTGTCGCTATGAATGAATTCTGCCTGGAAATTGCAAGAAGTATTCCACATGTAATATTGTTGAGGTAGGAAAGTTGACCAGTCGAAGTGACACTATGGTAACCTCGTGGATACACTGTGCAGAATATGATTAGAACATTAAGAGATTGCACTGAAAGCCAATGGCCCCGTGATTCCAAGAAAGAAAATTGAACTGTCCTCCCCAAAAGTCCTTTCCAATTGATTTGACAGTCAGCTATTGATGCATGCTCTCCCCAAACTCCTAAAGCTTTGCTTGTGCCACAAATCTGAAGTAGGATCTAACTGAGTCAACCATT